TTTGGTATATCACGGCCAACCGTAGGTTTCTCCACTCACCATAGTGGGCACACGCCAGCTCAATCGCAATGGGGTGTTAGTTTCCCAATGTTTGGTCCAATGGCCAGGGTTACCTTTAGAAGAGACGTCCTGTGTGGATGTTGTTGACTTCGCTGCACTTTATGGTACCATCTCCAGCAACCTTAAGGACAAGGTTGATTCTGAAGGGGTGGGCAATGTTAGGAACTCAGAGGATCCCTAAGTGAATGTGGCAAGAAATATAAGAAGATATCCAAGAAGGAAGCGACAACCTCCAGTTTGGACGCAGGATTATGTTTGTTAGTTCTGCAGGTTCTAAAAAGGAGAAGCATGAAGTTGGTGGATTAGTAGTAATTGATTAGCCCTAGTAGGATTTTATGGGGATTTATAATTGTTAGGGGTTTTATAATAATTATTGAATTATGTTAGTTTAGGGTTTATTTAAGGAATAATTTCTATGCTTATAATTATTACAACTAGGCAAAATTTTTACAAAATTCATGTAAAATTATTATTTTATTCTATGTTTTTAATTTGCCCGATTGTATGACTGAGTTGTAAGTATAACATTATTATTATTTAAGATGTTGTGAATGGCATTGCAAAGGAAGAATAAAACCATGTTGCTCATATAAACATAATCTATCTTAATCCCTATTAGATTTAGTAAGATTTTCACTTATTAATCTAAACTATTTTTTAATTTTAACACCAATGTATTATTAACAAAATCGGTATATATATATATATATATAATTATATTATATAGATATATATATATATATATATATATATATATATAGAGAGAGAGAGAGAGAGAGAGAGAGAGAGAGAGAGAGAGAGAGAGAGAGAGAGGAACTGTAAAAAAAATGCACTGAAGAGGAAAATAGAGGAAGATGATTTTACTTCTTCTTTTACTTTTATTCTTTGTCTTTTAACCTTGTTTCTTATTTTCTTTGTTTTTCTTTTAAATTCTTCGGTTTCTCTGATTTTTTTTTTCGAAATTAACTGTAATTCATTTGTTTTCTTGATTTTTCTTCTTTTTAAAATCTATTCTTCTTTGAATTTTTCAGAATTAATTGGAAAGAAAATATTTTTTGTATTCTTTGATCTTTTTTTTTTTTTTTTTTTTTTTTTTAGTTTCTTTCTCGATTTTCTTTTAATTGTCTTTGATTTATGCGAAATTAACTAAAAAGAAACATTGTTTTTCATTTTGTTTGATTTTTCCATTTAATTTCTTATTTCTTTGTCTTCTTTAACTTTTGTTCGAAATTAATTAAAAAGAATCATTGTATTATGTTTTCTTTGATTTCTTGGAAATTAATTAAAAAGAATCATGGTTTGTTTTCATTAATTTTTTTCAAAACTAATTAAAAAGAAACATAATCTTCAAAAGTTTGGAAATTAATTAAATAGAAACATCATGTCTTCAATTTTTTCTCCTGTTTTTACCTTTTTCTGTTTCTAATTAAGAATGCTTGTGGTCAGGGGCGGATTTAGCTCATTCTGGGCCTACCCTCATATTTGAAAAAAAAATTATTAATATATAGGCCATAAAAAATTGTTAATTAACATATATATCCAGACCTATCTTCAGATTTTAAAAAAATAAGAGCTATTATACATATTGTATATCTAGGTCTACAAAAAAACTTGTTATTAATATATATATATATATATTCCAAACTCACATCATATTAAAAGTTTAAAACTCTCTCTAGTGTTTTTCTACACGGCTTTACTTATTTTTTATGATTTTATCCACAAATTCTTTACTCTCTCTTTCTCTTTCTCATGTTATTCTCTTTTAAAATTTTTGAAGACTGAAATTGTTAAATTTTCACTACTTAAGGTGTCATAATTAGCTCCGCTTTCTGTTTTATAGATTTTAGGTATGTGTATTGTTCATTTCAATTTAGTTTATTTAAGGATTGAATCATTTTTTTTTTCTTTTTGAGGTTTTTTTATTCTAATTTGAGAGAAAAAAATATTAATCTTGTGAGTTTATTTTGTATTTTCTGTCTAAGAATGAACCTGTTTTCTCAAATTAAAACCTTAACTATATTTTAAAGGACGTTATTCTTCACCCTTCACCCATCACTTCCTATATTTTAAACGTCACCGTTCAGTTGTTCAAAATTATTAAAGAAATTTAAGTTACTATCTATGTTTATACTAAAAAAATTTCCCCTCTTTTATTAATTCATATTAAAAGTTAACGTAACGTTGATTTGATTTAAGTTTTGGTTGACTTTAGCTTAATTAAGCTAGGTTTGATCAACGCTATAAAAAATTATATTATAATATTTGAAAGCCAAAAATAAAAATATTAAAAGAAGGTTTTGTTCAAGGTTTACTCAACACTTTTACTCAAAATTTTGCTTCTCATAGATTTATTCAAGTAAGAAAATATTGTGTTAATGTATATTCTTTTTTCTCAGGTTCTTAATATTGTATTATTATTTTTTTTATTAAGGTTTGATGATTTTTTAAAGTTTTCACTAATTATTTGGTAAATAATGGCCAAGCTCTGGAGGTTCCCGCGATAAAAGTCCTGGCTCCGCCATTGCTTGTGGTACTTAGTTTACTATATTTTTTTTTTTTGTATATGTCAACTGGTTTCTCAAGTCTATCACGTGGTAATCAATTGGTAAAATTCTTGGAGGATTTATGGAAGTTTTTTATTGGATTGGTAAATTTCAGGATATCTTTTATTATGCTGACGTCATCATGGTACAGTATGATGATGTGACTAGTCAGATCGACCGGTTCAACCGCCCAACCAGGTCGGGTTTCAGAACATTGCTCATGAAATCCTTGATCAAATACTTACTCATGAAATCCTTGGCATCAACAGAAAGAAAAGGATGTTGCAACAACTCTTCGGCAGTCCGTCTTCATAACCTTTGCTCAAACACTTGCTCATGAAATCCTTGGCATTCTCTGACACATTCCTCAGAAGCGAAGGCAGTTCCGAACTGTAACCGATATGCTCAAAAAGTTCCTCCTTAGTCACATATTCCTACCCTGGTTTCCCACTCAACATGTCAATAACAACACACCCAAATGCCCAGACATCAGCAGGACATGCCAAGATCTTTCCCTCACCTAAATCATCAGTCAGATATGCATTAGATTACATATCTTTTTCAGGTTTAGTAGCCTGCTTCTCCCCTCCATCCAAGCTCCACACACATAGCTGCAAACAGCATAATTCATATTTCCTCTGAGTTTAACATCTAGGTGGAATAAAGATATGCCAAACACAAGTAACTGTCAATGTGATTAATTGTGCATAATTGAGTCTATATATAACCCACATATAAATTTTACTAAAATTGCTTTCATCAAACAGTCATCATATTCAACAAATTCCAGTATTCACCAAGAGAAGAAATATTAATAAATAATTTGACAATGATAAAGAACAAAAGATTCCAGCTCATAAATCTACCATGACTTGTGGAGATTTTAACATTCTGTTGGTGATTGGTTAGCTTGTTTTTAACCTATGACTACATTAACATTATATTTTCAAATGATTAAATTTGAAAATCTAATATAGACTTGAACATTTGCTGTCAAAATTAGGCCTAAGTTAAGGAAACTTGATATCATACATAAGAATTGAAGAGTCATCCATGCCAATAGCAATAATGTTATTGTCCTTTGGATGTAAGGCAAGAAAAATTGTTGCAGGATGTGGGGGGCAGCAGTTGACCATTAGTTGCACAAAGAAAAACATAAACTTCCTACACAGATAGCAGGAAAATAAGATATAATCTACAATTCAGTGAAACCTACAAAAGGTAACAACCAATTAGTATAGGCAACATGATTACCTTAAATGACCGCATCATGAATAAGGAAACCGACACACAATCTGCCACAGCACCTCCAACAAACCTGCACAAACTACATAAGCTACGCAAACTGTACAAAATAAACTGTATAACATGATAGTCATAGACTCAATAGTGGTATCTAGGGGAGCAAGAGTGAGTATTTCTCCCCTTGATAGAAAATTCAATGGGTCTTGCAAAGTGTGAGATATGCCAAAATAAACAAGGTCGTAGAATCAAGCTTTAGGGATTATGTTTCCATTAAAATACTGATTAACAATCGCACAGACCGATTGTACCAGCCCAGGCCCAATCAACCGGTAGACATTGCCAGCTTCAAGCTTCACACAAGCATTATTCGCCTTCAAGGATTTGATTTTGTGCTTTACACAAGCATCCTTTACCTAAAATGTGTCTACTTCACTAAGGAAACCTAAGGCTTAGAAGCTACCCCAAACTATCTTTTGGTAGCGAAGTAGAATTTGACATACGTAGCTTTCAGGGATGTAGTGTCCATGCATTCCTAAAGGCACGAAGGCTCTCTGGGAAGAGTTGGTCGCCTAACACAATAAACTTATGAAAAGATTGGAGTTTGTCAAAAGAATATTTGAAAGACTGGAACACACAAGTTTTTGGAATATGATTCATTGATAAACGGAAGGCTTCTATAAGAAAAAGGGAACAGGGATTTTGACTTATTATGGGGGGAAATTGCACTTTTTGGGGTCTCTTTGAGCACCCGTTTCTAGTAGTTTAACTATGTTCTTTCTTTTAAAAAAAATAAATAAATAAATAAAACCATTATTAAAGGAAAAGAAGCTGTTGCTAGACAATTTCATTGTGTCTTTTTCTAGCGATTATAAGGCATCTAGTTTATAGAACTGCTGCTCCACATCTCTGTAAATCCTTTTCATATTAGAAATATTTTATCATTTCTTATTCCAAAACAGAAAATAAGAATATGTCCAAAGAAAAAGCAAATCATTTCTTACTTATAATGGAGTTTATGAGTAAAATGATTGACAGGGGAAGGAGTTATAATCACAATTATATTAATTTGTAACTTATCTTACCTAAAAAGAAAATGTCTTTCTTCAGTTGTGGTTGTCTTGTGACTAGCTAAAATGAATTTCACGACCTATTAATTTATAAAATTTATAACATAAACCAGTTAAATGATGGTTAACTCATCTTACATCAAAAGAATATCTGAAATGTTTGATTCCTTGATCCTCTGTTCATGCAGAGAAGTCCTCTGCTTCTTACCATATTCTTCTATGCCCAAAAAATTCATGATTCTATGAACGAAATTTACTACACAATCTATTTTAGAAAGTCAGAACTAACTTCTCTTGAGAGTTGGATTGGCCTCTAATGTCCTTTGTATTCTTTCGCTTGTTTTTTATATCATCTTTCATAGGAATAACTTAACCCCACACTCTCCTCTTCATTACAAGAGAATCAATTTCCTCCTCATCTGATGAGAGAAAATTTCTAACAATAGATTGGCAAAGTCTCCTGTAATTAGGACAGCTGTTCCAGCACAATAAGGTCCGGCTCTACATTAAACATATTAAAAAATTTTGAAATCAAAAATGTATTTAACTTAATCTAAAGCTAAAAATCGAAACTTTTCAATCTCTTGGATTGCCGTTCCTTTTTCTTTTCCTCCTCTTTTAGTACCATCTTCGACACCTCTTGCCGTCTTAACATATTCTTCGACGCCAATCAAGTTGTACCGAAATCTGGTCTGGTGATTGTATCGGTCATAAAATTTTATAACAGATCCCACAGACAAACTTATCGACTTCTGTATCTTACAAGGTTCTTGTCTCTGCTTCAGAACGATTATAGAATAGCCCATTTCTCGAGAGTAGAACAGTTCTGGGATTTCATTTCTAGGGTAAATAACAGAAGCACTCTTTGATTTTGAAATCTTTGACTGTATTGTCATAACATCTTTTTCAACTTTGATTTTGAAACAACTTAAAGATACCACCTCCAATGATGTGCAGTTGCATGCTAGAACATCCCGGCACGATCTTGGAAGCATTAGTATAAACCGAAGCTTCTCGCAATTACTTATGTCCAGATAACACAACTTCCCAAGTTTTTGAAAGCTTTCTGGCAAACATACAAAATTGTTTCCTCGAAGATGTAAGTCCACTAGAGATGATAGCTGACAGAAACTGTCGGGTATCTTCATAATTTGGCAATTGTCTAAATGTAGAGACGATAGATCACCAAAACCTCTGCCAAAGTCATTGGGCAATCTAATTAGTTTTGAACAACCCGAGAGGGAAAGGCTGCGAAGGGACTCCAAATTACAAATGGTGCTGGAGAGATTTTCGAGCCTTGAACAGTCTCAAAGATCCAAATGAACTAGTTTTGATGGATGATCAAACAAGGGCAACTCTTGTATACTTGTTCCATCTAAATATAGGTACTCGAGGTTACCAACGATCTTTGGAGCCATCTTGAGATTTGAGCAACCAGAGAGAATAATACACCTTAGAGATTTTGATCGAATGTTAATTGGAAGACTCGTAAGGCTTTTGCAACCCCTGAGATTGAGGAAAACGAGTTTATTGAGATATTGAATAGATGGATGAACCTCAATCAAACTTATGCAGTCTTCAAGAATCAACCTCTCAAGATTTGAGGCCAAGGACAGATCTGGGATTTTACTGAGATGTTTAGAATGACTGAGGTCAATGTATGTTAAATAATCCAAATTCTGCAATAAAAATGAAATTATCAGTATAAATTAATCTTTATGATCGACTATAAAAAGAGATGATAAATATATATATACAAACATGGACATCATTCCAAAGTTGTTTCACGTTGCTACAAGGCATGATAAGTTCAACAAGATTCTCCTGATAAAAATTTAATGATAATGATTTCAACGGATATTGAGGCCATTGAAAAAGCACAAGATCAAGAGAAGCAAACTAAAATCCTTCGGAAGGATGAACCTTATTTGAGGAATATAAATTCAATATTCTCAGGTTACTCATCTTTAAGAAAGCATCAGGTTTCAGGTATAAATCTTTTATTTTAGACATATCCAATTTTATGCCTTCAATTGCTTCTGTACCCTGTTATCAAGAAATGAATAGGTTAATTAGCATCAAATGTCTAAAAATACATCAAAACTTTTTAGTAATCCGATTAAATTCCCAGAGCTAATGCATACAATTAACATAAGTGAATGTAATGCATAAAAATAACAATTCTCACCGTATTTTTTATCAATACATGATAGATATCTTTGTGATGTCATAATCTACTTTGCTTCGCAGGATCTTTGGATTCTTTGTTGACAATTTTCTTACCCAATTCTTGTAACAAATCATGCATTGTTATCTTACCATCGATTGTTATCATTAAGAGAGACATGTCAATGAGTATACTGATTCCGATCTCTGAGGCAAACCCACTTGCATTGAGGATTTTCATTACGCAATTCTTATGATCCCCTTTAAAGAAGCATGCAATATCTAAAAATATATTTTTCTGTTCGTCATTTAATCCATCATAACTTACTTTTAGCACATCAAGGATCTTTGAATCTGAAATCCTTTCCAAGTTACACACTACACTTTCCCATTCTTGTTTCGTCTTTTTCAACAGCAAGCCACCTAAAACTTTAAGAGCTAATGGAACACCTTTGACTAATTTCACTACCTCTAGTGATAGATTCTTGTAACCTATAGTGGGAAGATCCTGTTTGAAGGCATGACAACTAAAAAGTTTTAAGAGCTGCCTCATCTGGTAATGCCTTAACCTCATATATTTTATCATGATTCACTCCACAATTTCGAAGCACTTGCTTATCTCTTGTTGTTATAATTATTCTACTTCCAAGACCAAAACAATCATGGTCGTTACCAATTAGTTTTTCTATTTGTTCTGAACAAGTCATATCATCAAGAACAATAAGAACCTTTTTATTATGAAGCCTATATTTTGTGAATGTAGATTGTAAAGTGGCATATCTATCATCTAATAATGCAAAAAGAAGTTCTTGAATCAACCAACCGAATCCATGTTTTTCTGATTCTTCCCTAACATTATTTAGAAAGTAGTAACCGTCAAATTTGCTTGAAATATTATTGTATACTGCATGAGCAAGAGTTGCTTTACCAATACCACCTATCCCCCAAACTCCTACAGTAAAAAAATGTGTCGAGTACTGGAGCTGCAATAAAGATTCAAGCGCCTTGATTCTTGATTCTAAACCAACAAGGCCCTTGTTAACCTTTGGGAATATATGATGAAGTCTTTTCAAAATGTTTTGAACAATTTCCTCTATTAATGCAGCTTCAAGTCTTGCATGCAAATATAAAACAGATTAATCATCAAGTTAAAATAATTACATAACTGTGCGAACGAAGTGTTTCTAATCAAGAGATTGATTAAATAAAATAAAGAGTAATAGTTTCCATGTACAGTTGCCTAATATTAATCTTCCATTAATATATTTGGTTAATTTCAATTACCTCTCTGCAAATTTAATTCTAAATTTAAACTTTTAAGTATTGATGAAACAAAAATGAGTTAAATTATTTTATTTGCTAATAAACATAAATATTCTACAAACTTTTTATTAAAAATTTCTGGTGCTCTTCAATTCATCAAATAATAAACTTAGAGAATTAAACATACAAGTAGTAAATAATTTTTCCTTAATAAAAAACCTTAAATATCTAAAACTTGTGAATAGTTTTGTGCAGACATTATAATCTAACTTTCTCCATGCTGCAAAATAATAAATCTCTTCATCAAATCAAGACAATAAAATCACCTGATATTTTCTGAATCAAAGCTAGATAGATTAGCTGCTTCTGTCAAAGCATTCCTCCATCTCACCACCGTCTCTAAGCTCTGCTCTTCTTCCTGCTTCACAAATGCTTTGCCAAATGTCCCAGTTTGCTTCCTTACATCTGACGGATCCACATGATAGAAAATTGGCAATACAATCAAATCTCTCAATGACTTGCATTCAATGATATTTACAAGTTCTTCAAGGCACCATTTAGAAAAGGCATAGTCTTTTGAAAAGATGATAATCGCAATCTTCGATTCTTCGATTGCTTTCAAAAGGGATGGTGAAATTTCATCTCCTTTATCAAGATCTTCATTATCAATGAAAGTGTCAATTTTATTGTGACACAGAGCTACATAAAGATGGCTGGTAAAGTTTTCGCGTGTGTCCTCACCTCTGAAACTGAGAAACACATGATGTTTTGTTTTAGAATTTCTTGAAGAAGAAGAAGCGAAAACCTTCATTCTTCACCTTTGATGAAAGATTCCTTAGAGAAGAGATAGTTTTGAACTCTTGATGAGGGTAGTTTTGAACTGTTGATATGCCAAGAATTAATCTGAGAATTATATAGCTATCAGGAAATTTCGCGTGAATTTCTCTCTTTTATCTCTATATATATCCAATTGCTACTGCATTTTCCTCGAAGCTAGTTTTCTCTTTCAAAAGGTCAAATGAGATGATCCAATTTCTCTCTTTTGACACTTCAATATTTGAAATTTGAGTCAAAAGAAATGATCCGTTCTATGTCTCTTGGTTTATTCTCAGAAGTTTAATATAGGGCCCTTGACAGGCGCGCCCCTGAGGTTTAAGCTCATTAAATAAATACCCTCAGTTATTGAACCGTTATAACTTGGGGCGACCCACAGTAACGAAACACCAAAAATACCCCTAAAACACAATAGATTTTTTTTTTTTTTTTTTGTTGGTAGGTACGATAGAAATATTTTTCTTAAATCATAGGTGGCATGATGAGGGGAAAAGACCAAAATACTCTGCCCGCTAGCACCTTTTTACCTTTCACAAAAAATTTCCCAGCCTATCTGAACACCGAATCCTTCCATCACAGCAAACATCCGCTTCCCGGCCTATTAAACGCCCAATTCCACGTTTCAAGAATTTCTTCCTAGCGTTAATTATAACTGATTTTCATTAGAAATCAACGGTAAATATGTTTTTGAAAAAAAAAAATATTTCAATCAACATCTTATTGCTTCCTGCTTTTTCATATCATATTATCCTAACTCAACAAATATGTTTTTGAAAAAAATATATCAAACGCAATTTGATAATAGAGGTGTCAAATCGATTAACAGGATAAAAAAATTAATTAACTAAATATGATATATATGACATAATATAATTATTTTATAATAACACAAAATTAGCACAATATATATCCAACATAATATAAATATTCACTTTTGTAGTATGCTTTGAAACTAGTGTTTTAATTTGTAATCAAACGGTTTTTGATTAATTGAAAGGTTGTCTTCATCTATTTCCCTCTTCCACCAATTTGAAGTTAAAAATGCCAGCTTGTTTTAATGAATATTCAACTTCCCATAAAGCATTTACGGAATTATTTCTGAATTGGGTCATACTTTTAAATGTTTTCCAATAAAGTATTGTGTTTTAAATACTCCCAAAATATGTCTGAATTAATTGTTTTAAAAGGAATTTGAACGGTTCTAAGTTCTCAATATGTTTTAAAAAAATGCTTTTAAAATACCATCGTCGTCAATTTAAAAAAGATCTTTTTATGAAAAAGATTAATGCTACTTGATAGCAATTGCTCAATTGAAGAGAATTGGCTAAATATTTTCACAATCGTCTTTCATATCCATACTTGATGAATTTTCAATTCTTCAACTCTTCATAGAATAGTGCAAGTATAACATTGCAAAATGTTGGGGAAAGAATCAAACAATTAATAAATTGAATATGATGTTTCTATTTTAGAGATATAATCCAAGAGATAATTACTCAACATCTTTCCCTTGATTATTATAATTTATTGGGAATAGAGAAAATTGCACTAGACCCCCTAAGATAAATCCCCTGTCATTAGTAAAGCATTAGGACTTTCCCGTTAAGTTAAATAAACTGAGGCTAAATAAGTAATTGTCAAAAGAAAAAACTAAAAATATAAAAAAATTTACACAAAAGTTAATAAGAATGAAAAAAAAGAGGCCATAAATAGGGATGATAGCTGAGCTGAGCCACTCGCCAGTGGCTCAGGCTCGGCTTGAGAAAAGCTTGAGTTCGGCTCGACATTTGTCAAGTTGAACTCAAACTCGAGTGGCTAGACTCAGTTGGCGAGCCGAGTTCAAACACCCGGATACTCGGCTTGCCAAGCTCACGATGCCGGCCTAGCTCGACTATAATTATATAATATATATAATACATAATATGTATATAATATCTCCCCTATCTCTTCTCTCTTTTCCCTCTTCTTCTTCTTCCTCTTTTTCTTTTCCTTTTCTCCAATTTTCTTTCTTTCATTGTCTTCCTTTCTTTGTTTTTCTTTTTTCTCCTCTTCTTACTTTCTTTCTATTTCTCTCCTATCATTCTTTCTTCCTCATTTTCTTCTCTTTCATATTTTTTTTAACCATGGCTGCCATGGCTAATTGAGGCCATAAAGACGGCCAAATACAATGGCCATGTGGGCTACGATGCCAACCAGATCCGGTCGATTGTGTAGCCCATGTGTTGACTAGATTTGCTGTCCACATAGGCCATGCTTGGCGCTAGTCTGGTGAGTTTTGAGGGGATTTAGAATGGGTTTTATGGTGGATTTGTTGTGAGTTATGCTAGATTTAAGGTGGTGGGAGATGTCTGATGGTGGCTGGGAGATGGTTGGTTTTGTTGTTGTTGGTGTTATTGTTTTGTATTATGTTAATTGTTGTTTTGGAGAGATTCTGGCTATGTCTTGCAAGATGCATGAATTAGAAGTTGGATAGAGCTCTGGAATTGTAATTTTCATTATACAGGAGCAATTCACGAGTTTTAGCTGGCTGTGAGCTCGAACTCACCTTGAGCATCTTTTCTGGCTCGCGAGCTCGAGCTCATGAGTATCCAAGTTCAAACAAACCATCTCGAACTCGAGCTCGCCACTGCTATCACAACTAGATCTTGAGCCACGAGATACTCGACTCGGCGTATCACCCCTAGCCATAAATATCCCATCTTCATCTTCACAACAATGAATCTTCATCTTCCCACAAACAAAACCAAACCCTCACTTTTCCATCAAAACCAAACTCTAAATAGTACAAAAAATTCACCAACATCGAATAATCCAACTGTCATAAAAAACACAAATATAACCAAAAAGAATCATTGATTTCGCTTTATTTATTTTATTTGAGTTGTTCAAGGGTGAAAATATGGAGGTGGATTGGGTTTGGTGGCGGAGCATGCTTGCAGGGCTTTTGAGCTTAGTTTTGCAACTACTGTAAATTCTCCTCCACCCCTACGATTCCCTAAACCTACAAGCAAGTTAAATCAATGAAATCGTTTTCTGGCACGTCTCACCTGATCACTCAAGTTTGATTGATTAAAGACTATCTTGAATGCTGATAACACTACAAGACAATACCATTAGTTGGTACACGATTAACAAATACAATTTGTCAACACATGTCTTCCAATCAACCAACTTCACATAAATGCAACACAGTAGAAATGACATTAAATCCGAACACAACTTAATTAACATGCGAAGTATAAAAAGCAATATTCATCATTTAATTATCTCAAACCAACGTCTATCATTCAATAACTTCTATGAAACATTTAATCACAATGACAACTATATTATCACAAATTATGCTCAAACCATAAGTATCGAAATCAAACATGAAACGAAAACAAATATATTCAAAACCAATACTACCAAATGTCTTACAATCGGTTTCATCCAACTAGTCGAGACCTGATGAGGAGAGCAGTGGAGTCAATCTCGATCTCGCCTACATCGTAACAGACAACCGGAACTCAATTGCTCATGGTGGTGTCGACAGAGGCTAGAGCGGTGGAAACGAAGCTGGTCATGGCAAAGAGAAAGTAACGACAGCGAGATGATGCGAAGAGGAAGTACTGACAATGGAATGATGCAAAGAGTGAAAACGACGAACGAACAGTCACACCTCGCCAGAATACGTTAGTTTTCCAACAGGTCTTCCGACAAATGGTGGCAGAAATGACATCCGAAGTACCACTGGAAAGCTCAGGTGATGGGGAGTTCAAATCAGGTCCTAGGGAGATGAAAGGTCACGAAAAGGTGGAAATTGCGACTGGAAGGTGAGAGCACGCGGCAACGATGGCGGATTGCGGCTTTTTTTACGGTAGCTGAAGCTTGGGATGGATAGATTTGAGTGTGGGGAAGGATATCGCCACCAGAAAGTGAAACATTGTCGGAGGTCACCGAAAAATGGCCCAACGATAGCTGGAATGCGAAAATCACTGAAAAATGGCGTGAATCGAGGTGGTGAGTGCAATGATGATGATTGGTGCAAGAAAGCGAACCATCACCGGAGGTCGCGGAAATGGGAGAGGAAGAGTCGCCGGTGGTGGGCACTGTAGATGGGTGAATGACGCTCCAGCTTGCGACCCTTCGCTTTGGTTTTTATACACAAAGGACATATACTTTGGTCCCTACACGATGAAAAGTGACAAATCAACCCCTACAAATATGACAATTTACCCCCTAAAAGCATAAATGAGACAAAATCACCCTAATCCATAAACCCAAACCTAATACAACTCATACCTCCAAAATCTTCCAAACATGTTAAATTCATAAGAAATATTAGGATGCGATTTTCATGAATAAATTCATAAATCTTTAACTATTTCATATGATTTCATTTTATTATACACATAGAGTCTTTTATCACCAAAATAGAGTCACTTTCATGATCTAACACTAATGTTCATAATAGAATGTTATAATTATAAGTAATCATATTAAGCAATCATACTATAAATTTTAATGTAATAATATAATTAATTAAATTTATAATCATTAATTAGGTATTCTGCTAATGTATATTGTTTATAATATAATGTCATAATTAACTAGTATCATTTCATTGTTTAATGTTCAATAATATGATCATCCTATAATGTAATGTTAATGATTAAGTAATCATACTATATCTTAATAAATATTATAATTAATTAATTATAATATAATAAATTGTATTTTAATGTTTATATAGAATATTATAATTAATTAAGTAATCATTTGTTAAAACGTAATGTTATAATTAATTAGTAATCATACATAAATTATAATGTAATGTATAATTAATTAATTCTAATCATTTATTAAGTATTGCTAATGTAGTAAATTAAATGTTATAATATAATGTCATAGTTAAATAAATAATCATTTAATATGTAATGTTATATTAATTGTGTGATCATATTATAATGTAATGTTATAATGAATTAAGTCATCATACTATAATCTTTAATGTAAATTATAATTAATTAAATTTTTAATCATTTAATTAAGTATTATATTATATTTATAATGAATGTTATAATTAATTAAGTAATCATTAGTTTATAATGTAATGTTTAATTAATTATATTATACTATAAGTCTATACTGTAATGTTATAATTAAATAAATTTCTAATTGTTTAATTAAGTAATGTACTAAATTACTAATGTAGTTTTATAAACTTATATAATTAAGTAATCATTAACTATAATGTATGTTATAATTGATTAAGTAATCATTTAACTAGTAATATATTATATTTATCATTTATTTTATATAATTAATTAATTACTAATTTACTACATATCTACTAGAACTTGATAATTGAAATAATAATAAATATTATATTTAAAAATAATTCTTTTATACATTAAAATACTTTTAATTGATCATAATCTAGTTGTACGCATAATTAATCAAAACTTTAATATTAATATATTATAACATATTAAAGTTTTTTATATGATGTAGTTTATATGTAATAAGTATAATTGTATATTTATTTAATTAAGTTAATGTAAAAATTTAACTTTTTCCATTTTAATTATTTATATGTAAAATTATTAGACCCCCCATTCTTCACAGATATTTATTTCAACCCAAGATCCAAAATAGGGTACCTACTGCAGGTTCCAAGCAGGTTCCAAGCCGGTACCCGCTGCAGTTCTTTTTTCCAGGTTCCGTTTTTGTTCCTCTACATGTGAAACCAACCAAAACCACACAGTGTCAATTCCAAAAAATAGAACCGGAACCTACCCGCACATGTCGATTCAGGGTAGGTTCCAGTTTTACCCGCAAGTTCTGGTTCTACCGCTACCCGTGCTCACCAGTTTCCTCATAGAGTATTCTCTCGCACAAAATAAGTGTTAAACAAAAATTGATAATAAAGAATTAATGCCAAAAAACATATAATAAACAAAGAACAAAACAAAAGCATGATATTTTATCACAAAATAATTAGGATCCAAGCTTGGAATCCTACTCTACGTACTCTGTATAAAGTAATTACATAATAAGATTATAGTTATATTTTCACTTTCTTCGACCTCCTGTTCCTCGTCTTCTTTGGTGCTGAAACTTAAGTGGATTCTTCCTTCTCAGCCTTTTCATAGAATAAATTAACCCCACATTTTATCACCTCGCAGCAATAGCATTTTGTATACAGACAGAAACATTTAAAATCCAAAGCAAGGGAGTCATTCCCTGCTCCAATCCAGTTATAATCTTTGAGGATGCGACCACTGCCCATGAATACATGATCTAACGTTGGATAGCGATCTCCAACTTTATGCCATGGCCCGGGACCGTCGAAATCACAATCCTTCCGCATCCCAAATTGGCAGCGGTTCATCTTTACCAGACAACAAATGGGTGGGCTGATTTCAGGATGACGTATTCGACATTTTACAACAATGCAGAGATCAAATAATATTGATTTGTAGTTCACAAGATCTGGTAGTAGCTCGAGTGTTATAGAAGATCCCATATTTTGAAAGCTATACCAATTTGGAATTTCATTTCCAGGGAAACAGCCACTATAGAATGCACTTGATTCACCTGAATACTTCTGCCTCTGCACCAAGAAAGTTACTACTTGTTAAGAGAAATAGGGCAACAATTAAATTATATAATACCCAAAATAAGATGGAAAATTATTCCTCAACCTAAATCTGTCTTAAAAATAAAGTTAATTTTTACGAATAAATATATAACTTCGCCTCTTTATAGGGGGTGAAAATATTCTTCTAAGTACAAATCTGAAAATTGTTAAATGTTTTTCAAAAACTGAAGTTTTTCCTAAAACATTATTACTTTTTTTCAAAATAACATCTACCCACAATACAAAATTAAAAGATCAATGCTTACCATAAAAAGAAAAAAAAGTTGAGATTGCAAATAATTGTAGTATTATTGTTTTTTTCACTTTGGATTCTAGTCCAAAAATAATAAATATCAAATTAGAATTTTGAATAGCATATTAAACTTACTTGTTACATATATAATACTAATTGCAAATTTTAAAATATATATTATGTAAAGGAGAAAAAAATCTATAGACCTTAACATGTAATTTCAGAGCATTTTCCACGTCGGCTTTGAGCGCATTGCTATCCAGTTTGGAACAATTGGCAAGGTTGATCTTTGTTCTCCTCAACAAAGGAATATGTAATGCCTCTAATGACGTGCAATTCTCTGCATTCAACATAGAAAGACCTGGAAGCTTTGGCAAGGATCGAAGCCTCTGGCAATGGCTTACGTCCAACTCAACCAAAGTAGAAAACTCTTTGTTGCTTGGTGGTATGAACTCAAAATTGTTTCCACTAAGATATAACTTTCTTAGAATGGATAATTGGCTGAAATTATCCAATGACTTAGGGATTTGACAAACAGATAGATCTAGAATCTGAAGAGAGTTCAAGCCTGATAAAAAAGCAATACAAATTAAAAAGGTCTATTCAAACAGGTAGTATCATTAGATTTGAGTATGATCAACTTACAACTGGTGCTAGGAAAACTCTCAAGGCTTATGCAACCTCGAAGATTGATTATAGCAAGCTTATTAAGATATTTTTCAGATGAAGAAATCTCGATCAAACTTGTACAACCTTCTAGAATCATACTCTCAATATTTGGAATCATTGAGAGGTCTGTGATTCTTGTTAGGAGCTTTGAGTTGCTGAGGTTAATGTGTTTCAATTTGTTACATTCCTACAAGAAAAAAAAATAAATGAAAACATAAATTAATCATGCATTATAATTTTCAAAAAAAGAATATTCAAGGTATATATGTACCTGGACAAAATTCAAAATTTTAATCTTGCTACATGGCATGACAAGTGAAACAAGATTCTCTAGATCAAAAGTTGATGGCAATGATGGCAACGGATATCCATACCAACAGAAGTACCTTAGTTCAAAAAGAACAAATTCAAGATCTTCAGAAGGATGAACCTTATTATCAATCTGCCCTTCTTTGCATATGTAGCCACCTTTACAGTGTGAGTTGTAAAAGTTGCATGAGCAACCAATATCGCAATAAAAATCCAAGAATCTGAGGTTATGCATGTTTGAGAAAGCGTGGGGATGTAACTTGAAAGGTTTTGCTTTTGACATTTCCAAACGAATGCATTCAATTGCTCCAGTCCCCTAGTGATCAAGAAGTGACAATAAGTTAGCATCCCATATGTAATAAGTCTCAATTACTTTTCTTTTCTCAACTTTCTTATGGTAATTTTTAAATATAGACAACATCAATCAAATCTAATCCCTTTCCCAGTGAGCAATTGGATAAAAGTGTACATACATGCAAGAACAACACATAAAGCATATTAAAAAATAATAATAACAAATAAAAAAACTAAGTGAACAAATATGTGTATGAAAAGTTAATGAGGTGATCTCTCACCATGTTTTTTTTGGGTAAGTATCTCTCACCATGTTTGTCTTCAATACACGATAGATATCTTCACAACGCCATAACCTACTGCGCTTGCTAACATCTTTTGATTCTTTAGAGACAATTTTCCTCCCCATTTCTTGTAATAAATCATGAATTATTATTATCCGATAATCATGCATTCTCCAGTTAACCCTTCTTATAGTTATGAGAGATTTATCGATGAGATCATTGACTCCACTCTTTGCAGCAAACCCATTATCATCTAGGATTTTCATCACAAAATTCTTATCATCCCCATTGAAGAAACATGCAATATCTAGAAATATTTTTTTTTCTTCATCATCTAGTCCATCATAACTTATTTTCAGCACATCTTGGATCTTTGGATTCGAAATTCTTTCAATCTTACTCAATGCATCTTCCCATTCTGAATTTGTCTTGTCAAATAGCAAACCACCCAAAGTTTTAAGAGCTAATGGAATGCCTTTAGCAAATGTTAATGCCAATTTAGATAGCTCCATGTAACCTGCAGTGGGTTGATTTTGTTTGAAGGCATGTCGACAAAAAAGTTCAAGAGCCTCATCATCTGATAACTCTTCAACCTCGTATATGCTATCCTGATTCACTCCACAAGTTTTAAGCACATGTTTATCTCTTGATGTTATAATGATACGACTTCCAAAACCAAAACAATCTCCAGTAAACTTTTCTATCTGCTCTGAACATGTCACATCATCAAAAACAATGAGAATCTTCATGCTGTGAAGCCTACTTTTTGTGAAGATGGAATCTATATTGGCATGTTTATCATCTAATATTGCAAAAAGAACTTGTTGAATCAAATGAGTTAATCCATTCTTCTTTTTACATTCTTCCCTGACATCATCTTGGAAATGGGCAATGTCAAATTGACTTGAGATTTTGTTGAATATTGCACGAGCAAGAGTTGTCTTACCTATACAACCCATTCCCCAAATCCCTACATTACTTGAAACATCTTGTAACTCAAGACGCAATAGCAATTCAATTTCCTCTATTTTTGATTTTACTCCAACGAGGTCCTTGTTGTCACTTAGGGACATTTGATTCAGTTTTTTCACAATATTTTCGACAATTTCCTCTATTAATGCAGATTCAGGCCTAGCAAAATATAAAACAGTTTATTACAATATCTATGCTAACAAAGTTTTTGTAACTAAGTGATTATTAAAATATATAACAGTTGCCTTATGTTAATCTTCCAGTGCGCCCTGTGAAACAACAAAAAAGAGAGTAAAACTCATAGTTTCGTTAGAATCTCTGGTTAATTTCAATTACCTTGCTCGGTGCAAATTCAAATCTAAATTTATAAGTTTATGTAAAATTAATGAAATAAAAATGAGTTAAATTATTTTTATTTAGTAATAAAACATAAATAATCTATAACTATTAATAAAAATGTGCAAATGCGTTACATGATTATTTAAAATGCTTTTATCCTCTAAGTTGTGCTCAAACCCTTCTTCATGCTTCACAAATTCAATAATCTATAACTATTAATAAAAATGATTGACTAATATTATTGTTTAATTCTATATTAATTTCTAACTAATTGTTACCTTTTTTTTTGTTTCATCACGTGCTACATTAATTTCTACTAATGTTTTTTTAATTACCAAATCTTACTCCAAGGAAACCTTGCTAATTAAAAGATTGATCAAAGAAAATAATTCTGGAAACTTTGCAAAAGAATTTATTAATCTTCGGTAAGCCTTGTTAAAATAAATAAATAAATTATTAGTTAATTTTTTTTTTTAAGAGACATTTTCACTCTCCTATTCATTGTATCATTCCCAGATATATATAAATCATCTATAATATCTTAAATTTCATGTTCCTTAGGAATTTTTAAAATATTATGTTTTTAGAATTTAATTTTCACATTCAAATACTCTATATTACTAGATTTATTTCATTATTGTATACATAAAATATCTAAAATCTATGGAAATTTTTGCCAATTCAATATGAAATAGATAAATTTATTTTCTCCAATGAAGAAGATAAGTCTCTTCATCTATTGAACCAAACTTATGTTCCTTTCAGTTGACAACTATAAATAAATAAACAAGTAAATTAATATGTGCAACAACAATGAAATTCAATTAACAATTACCTAATGTTACTTGAATCAAATCCGGATAGATTAGATGTTTTTGTCAAAGCATTCCTCCATCTAATCACCTTCTCTAAGCTCTGTGTTTTTTCATGCCTCACAATTGCTTCTGCAAATGACTCTTTTTGGTTTCTTATATCAGATGGATCCACATGATAGAAAACTGGCAATATGACCAAATCTCCCGCTTTCTTGATGTCAATGATTTTTGCAAGTTCTTCAAGGCACCATCTAGATGTCGCATACCCTTTCGAGAATATAATAACCGCAATCTTCGATTCTTCAATTGCATTCAAAAGTGCTTGTGAAATTTCATCTCCCCTTTGCAGGTCGTGACTATCAATAAACGTGTTGATTTTCTTTTTACACAAAGCTGTATAGAGATGGCTTGTAAAGTTTTCACGTGTATCCTCCCCTCTAAAACTAAGAAAAACATGAAATTTTTGATCAACTCTTGAAGAAGAAGAAGAAGAAGCCATTAATAAACTTAACACTTGATGGAAGACTCAAACTCTTGAAATATAAGTAATGCAAAAGATATCAAGAACCCAATTCAAAATTCCAAGTTCGATGAACTTCACAAGAAATTTTGTACAAATTTTGAGTTATTTCTCTGTTTTTGTCCAATGGATAAGATGATTGAATTGGTCGGATCTCAAAATATGCTCCATTTGACATGTTTCATTAACATTGACCAAAACAAAAGCTAGTGATAAGTTCAATCAAACGGTTTAAAAGAGATCATTCATCAACTTGTAATATATTATTATAGACACAAAACAAAAACGTGTCGACCACCTATTCTATTTGAAACATAAATCTGATGTCACAAATTAAAATATTATTTTGTCACTTATCATTGAACGAAAATTCTATGAAATTGCATTTGACTATTTGTGTTTGTTATTAATTTATAATTTCTTTGCTTAGATATAGTAAAATACTAGTTAAACAATTTGCAATGAAATGTTATATCCGTTTTTGGCGAAGTGAAAAGGCCCACAAATATGAAGAAATAGATATTAAGGTGTGAGGCAATGACACGTGGTGGATACTAATTTTTACTAGTTTTAACATAATAGTATTATTAAATTCATCCAAAAATTCAATCACTGATTAAACATTATTAAATTAAAATCAAGAAACCCAATTTAAAAACAACCAAAAATCACTACCAAAATAATCATCATTAACAAACCCAAACATGCACAAGCCTATAAACTGAAATCCACAACAAACTCAGAAGTACCATACCGGAAGGGAAAGAAAGGAAGCAACATCAATCCAGGTGAACGCAGTTGGAATCGTTTTATTTAGATTTCATTAGGATCATGTTTGATCACTGTTAGATTCATAAGGTTAATTTGGTCTTTTACTCGATTTCTGCATGAACAATTAGCGGAAGTTCAGATGGCGTTACAGTTTTGGTCCTCGTTTGTTGCATTCTGAAACTATGGGGGGCGTTTTGATGAAAATCTGCTTAGTTTCTTGTAAACTACATTTACCAAAATTATAGGGGGCAAAATTTATTTTCTCTCCTAGTATATATGTATAGTCAATGGTGGAATCAAAATAAAAACAAATTGCACATTAATATTTTTTTCCATTAAAATTTTCTGTTAGGGTAAGTCAAAATCCAAAAATTGTACATATTAATATTTTTCAAAAAAAATTGAGGGTAGGTCAACTAGTATTGCATCCGCCCCTATGTATGGTCTTGACAAATTAATATTCGGACATCTAAAAAAATATTTATTAAGAGATGGAAAGAAGATCATGAAATTGTTAAGAGGAATTATGACTTTCTTTTTTATGATGTACTCTAGTTTCTCTAACCAATAAAGATGCAGACATTTCAAGGAAGGTAATTGATGCAATGCGAAGAGACTTTGACATGTTTCACAATCACTTATTTAAAGTGCTATGAGATTTTTCAGGACGGAAAGCCAATTAGGGATCGTCACACCTAGAAAATAAAATATACCAAGTTGCCTCAGATTTTGATATCGTTGAAGGCTTTCTAGCACCTCCTTATTCATACTACGGTAATCATCATGGTGAGACAATCGAGGGGCACTTGTATTATTTGGCCAAGAAAGTCCACAGTACCATATAAGTATTGTTGACGTGACCACAAGGCAATGCATATATGCTAAGAAGTTATTACATTTGATAACAACTAATCACAATTAATTTAAAGATAAAAGAGACAGAAAAAATTCTCAAGTGGCATAAATTTATTGGATGGTGGTAATACATACAATTGTATTCTAGATTTTTTCTATCCCGCATCTTCCAATTCTAATTCTAGGAAGTTACATGTTGCTTAGTTTTTAAATTGCCCAACGTGGCTTTCGAGGTGATATTTTTCAATTCTTATGATGTGTTTCGCTCAAGGAATGTTAAATTAATAAAAAGTTAGATAACTGAGAATATTTAGAAAAATTTGTTTAGTTGATTGGAAAAAATTGGTGAGTATGTTATCTAAATATTAATATAATATTATTTTTATTATTATTTTTTGAATAATTTATTTTAACCTCCTACATTTGAGATTTTCCTAAACCACTCCAACCACATAAATGTTTAATTTTTAACAAAAATAACCCTATCCACCCAAGCCATTGCTGGCCCCTAAACCATCGCCATCCGTCGATCGAGAAGTGCAACAGAGATGTTCTTTGAGGTGTTTTGAAGAGGTGGTGAAGGGGAGTTGATCGTTGCAAGTAGGGGTGATTTCCAATGAAAACGCGATCGGAAAAGCACTGTCGAGAAAAACAAAAATCGCGAAAAAACAGTGGGCTTCGCTGGTGATTGGGGGTAGATTTGGTGATGGGGTTTGATGGGATTTGAAGAGGAAAATGAGAGGAGTAAGATAATGGTGGTTGGGGCCGACGGTGATGCCAGAATCAGCCCAGATTGGGCTTCATACTGGTGGCTGCCCAACCCAAAAAATCTTAGATCCATGGCCATCGATATGGCTGGAAAAGGCCATATCAGTGCACAATCACCAGATTTGGCCAATCGCGAGCCATTCCAACGACGTTGGCTGCCGATGGTGGTGGTGGTGGTTGGCTGCAACAATCCTCTTGGGTGACTTGTAAATTGTTTTAAAAATAGTGGCATTACTATCTAGAACTTTAATTATTTAGGGCTAAAATTGTAATGGTAAAGTTCATGTAAATTAATTTCAAAATAAGGGCATTATTGTCCAAAAAGTTTAATAGTGAAGGGTAAAATTGTTGCAAAATTAAGATTACTAGGTAATCTTATAATACCTAAGAAAATATAATTAGATTACCTCCTATATTACCAATAGTAACTACTATTGGTATTGGAAGATTATCAGAAGATTATCGGAATCTTATATTACTTGACAACCAAATGTGGTAATCAAGTAATATAAGATGATATTACCTTGGTAATCTGATATGACCCCCAACTAAACACACCCTCAGAGTTTGTAATTTTCTCCTCAAGTTGTTTAGCTTATCCATTTCACTTAGGTTAACATTTTTCATACTCTTCTCATCTAATACAAACTTGGATATAGTTCAGAGGCTAGTCAGCAACTTCAGTCCACAAGACACTCCAATCAAGGAATTACATTCATTATTCATAATATATCTAAGGCTCACTGTTTTTTTTAATCAAATATGCTTGTTGGATCAATTGATCTGGATAAAATAGGAATATATTTGACTTTTTGTAGGGTGATGCATGTATGAAAAGACCTATTTGTCCTTGTTGAATTAAAAAGTAAAAAAATGATTTAATGGTGAGAGAGAGAATGAAATAAAATTTGAAATATATTTTGAAAACATTGGATTTGTTACCGAGAACAAATCCAATATTTTAATTTAATTATGCTTCCAATACAGTGTTACGCTCTCCGAATTCCATAGTCCCATTCCAAATCGAGCAATGAATAATGCTTTCCTTCCAAAAAGAAAATTAGCACTTATTAATAAACAAAACAAAACCAAACGAAAAATGAACACTTGGATTACAATGGTTGGCTTAATCAAATTTTAAGTTGTTTGTGCATAGATAAAAAAAAAAAAAAAAATCTCTTATACAAAATCTATGAACATTCTCTGAATAGAGATCAATAAATATATGAACATTTGAATAATTCAGTGGTGGAGCAACACATAGCTCGTAGCCCACCATTCATTGCCTAGATACTCTTCCACTATCTATGCAAAAGGATGCGACACATTCTCTGAATAAAGATCAATAAAAATATTAATATTTTTTGTTTATTTTTAAAATTAATAAAATCTAATTTTATTAAACAAATTCAAAGAAAATGACTTTTATCATAATGACATGACATACTCATTTTATACGAGACTTTATACTTGATTACCTATATAAATATATATTAAAACATTCTATACGAGACTTTATACACATAATATTGTATATATAGATATATATAATCACGATTTAAGGTGATTAAGAGTATTTAAGAAAAAAAATACTTTGTTATCAATATCCAGAATACATATACATAAAACATTGATATATGGAAAACATTTATTTTATCCACACAACATTCGAATCAATATACAGAAAACATTTTTTTTATCTAGCTTTCTCTTTATTATCCACACAACATTCAGAGCAATATACATAAAACATTTTTTATCCACACAACATTTAGATCAATATACATAAAACATTTTTTATCCAGCTCTATTTTTTTTATCCACACAACATTCAGATCAAGTACAAAAAACATTTTTCATTCGGTAGCTATTTTATCACCATATGAACTAGCATATTCATTTGTTTGCAAAAATGAGATAAAAGGGAGTACCTTTGTATGAAAATGTATTGAAAATCAATGTTTGGCAAACGGTTCACACACTTGCAATATTGTGTGATAAAGGTTCTAACACAAGAAAAAAGCATGTACTTGCAATAAGGGATTAGACTTCCAACTTTGGGTAATAAAACGGTATACCTTTACATTTAAAAAAAAAGAAAAAAACTATTTAATTATTACAATAAATTTATTCCTACTTTCCAACTTTCCAATTAATTAATTCCTATTTTCCAACTTCTATTCTTGGAAACATTGAAGTAATAATTACTTATCCCTCACCCTTTCATAATTTCAATGGGTGTAAATTGTTTTCCCTTCAAAAAGCAGGGTTTGGGAGCCAAAAATAATTTTATTTTACCAAATGGCAGATTTGTATATTTACCTTCCTAAAAAAGTTTTTGATCCGGATCCATTGATCCAAATAGCACTGTCCTTTTTTTAATATTTCTTGGTAGCTTCTTCAGGAATTCGCAGTGATTAAGCATTAATATGCAACTTTTTTAGTATTTGTATTGAATTAGGCAGTCTTTCAAGACTCCTATTATCAGACAAGCTAAGAAAACGTACTTAGATGTTTCAATTTTCCAATTGAATTTGGTAACTTCTTGACATTTGAACTCTTCAAAATTAATGTACGCAAGATCTAAAATCTGATAATATTTTATAATAATTGGACCTATCAACTCATGTATGACATCTAAATTATCTAGCAATAAAAATTTTCTTCTATGATTAACCATGAGAAGTGTTATTAGAATATTACATGATTGCTCTAACCGAGAATCAAATGAAATGTGACGAGCTCTAATGTCAACATTTATTGAATCCAATTTGGCCAACATGGTCTCAGTTTCGGCAACTATGTTGC